TGTGTGTGTGTGTGTGTGTGTGTGTGTACAAGTACATGTGTGGAAAGACAAGAGGTTATCCTTTTCACACAGGACCTCTTACAGGCCTGGAGCTCATTGCTTCGGCTAACCTGGGTAATATGAATGGACAAAAAAACCACCGTGGTGGATAGAAAGCCACCAGGGAGTCACCTGTTTCTGGTTCCCCAGCACTTGGATTACAATCACACATCACTATACCTAGCTTTATTATGTGGGTTCTGGGTATCAAACTCTGGTTCTCGTGCTTACACAGCAAGCTCTTTATGACTGAGCTATCCCTACAACCCAAAGTTCATCTGTCAGTTGTCTGTCTGTTTCCGAAGGTTATTGTGTTAAGATGTTGTTTTTTTATTTATATGTATGTGTATCTGTGATATATGTGCAGGTGCCCATGGAAGCTAGAGGAGGGCATTGGAGCCCCTCTATCTGGAGTGACAAGAAGTATGAGTCTCCCAATTTAGGGGCTGGGAACAGAACTCAGGTCCTCTGGAAAAACATTAATCTCTTTTAAACTGAGTCCTCTCTCTAGCCCCCATGTACTAGGCAGTTTTAATGGTCTACTTGGTGCAACCTAGAATCACCTGGGAAGAGTCGTAATGAGGAATGTTCTAGAGTAGGTTCTAGAGAGCTGGGCATGTCTGTGGGGTTTGTCTTGATTGTTGATTGATGTAGAAATACGCGGCCCATTATGGGTGCCATCATTCCCTAGGCATGAGGTCTTAGACAGTGTGAGAAAGAGGAAAGCTAGCTGAGGGTGAGCAGCCAGGCAGACAACGGTTTAAGCATTTGTTTTTCTCTGCTCTTGACTGTCATGATGTGACCTGCTTTAAACTTCTGGTTTGACTGTTCCTCGATGATGGGCTATAACCTGGAACTGTAAGCCAAGTATACAAGCCTCTTCCTCCCCTACATTGCTTGCTACCCAGGTATTTATCACTGGGACAGATGTTAAATGATATCCTCCTCACAACTTTCTAAGTAAGTGTCATTGCTGCTAACTTTATGTTGCACACAGCATTTGTAATACAGCGTTTGCCAACTGGCTTGGCTGAAGCTTCATGCCCTAGTTCATTATTCCTCGATTCTCTGGCTTTCTATGCTCCTGGATGGCATACGCTAGCTACTCTTCGTTTCTATGCATTTGACTTTACCACATCAGACGTTTTGCTTAAGAGGGATCAGGCAGGGTTTGTTTTCCTGAGCCTGACCCTGCTCTGCTCCAGTTCCTATAAAGCTCACTGTGGCGTGGCAGGAGTAGGTGGAAGGTTTGCCTACCCAGGAAGGTAGCCCTGTGTGTGTTGACACAAGCGAGAGGGCGCAACCTTTTGACGCTGCTACATGATGTTATCCTCAGAGTTCACAAGTGAGAACTGTGCAATCAAGTTACAAAATAAATAAATCACAAAATAATCTCATGTTTTAAATAAGTTTTTTTTTATTTTTTGTTGGCCACATGATATCTTTCCTTGGCCAACTGAGGCCCACAGGTTATGTGTTGGACACCTGCTCCCCATACCTGCAGACTACTGCCAGGGGCTACTGCATCCTTGGATGTTTTAGCCTGGTTCTCACACTCTGACTTAACAAAACAGGCTTCAAATCCTTGAGGCCTCTGGCTCCCAGTCTTCCCCCCCTGCCCCAGCTGAGCCTAGAGCAAGGCCCTGGCAATTGCTCAAGAAAAAGAAACTTTTCTTTCTCTTTTGCAGGCCAGGCTAGCCTTGAACAGGCTGTATAACTGAAAATGATCTTTAATTCCTGGTCCTCCTGCCACTTCTCTCTTGATGATAGTATAGACATGGGCCATGGTGTGAACTTAAGTTTATCACATGGGCTCAATGTGCAAAGCTCATTTTCTCTGCTGAAGCTTTTCTGCAGACACCCTCCTGTTGAGCCGCTGTGGTCAAAGCTTGGAGAACCTGGAAGCTTCCTTCCTGGGATTTCTTTGTTGTCTCCTGGCCCCACCTATGCACTTACTAGGCACTCATGCCCCTCTGCTTGTTTGAGTGGCAGGTGCGTCCCACAGGGAGGCAGCTTTGCTTTGACAAAGGACCCTGAAACCTCTAACAGTGTAGCTTTGAAGTCAGTGTGGGCAGCCAGGGCACGCACATCGCATAGCCTAAAGCACACAAGGGGTCCCTGGGAGGTCGCATGGAACCCACTCGGTTTCTCTTGGGTACACAGGAGGAGAACACTCTGTGGGGGATACTTGTGTATGCACAAATGTGGGAGTGCACACAATAGTGACAATGTGACAATCAGAGGACGACCTCAGGTTACTCTAGCACTGCCCACCCTTTGTTTATGACCGAGTCTCTCATGGCCTGGAACTTGGCCAAGCAGGCGAGGTGGCCCACCAGCCTCCCTTCTCACTACAGTGCTGTAGCCACGCCACCAAGTCTAGCTCTGCTTTCTGCAGATGGAGGCCCTCACTGTGTAGTTCTAGCTGGCCTGACTCTTGATATGTCTCAGATACATCACTTGATATAGCTCAGGCTGGCTAGAGCTCAGAGAGATCCACCTGCCTCTACCTCTCAAGTGCTGAAATTAATGGCGTGAGCCACCATGCCTGACCATGCCTAGCTTTTCGTGTGGATTATGGAGATCTTAGCTGAGAGCTTCATACTTGTGAGGCCAGGCCTTGACTGACTGAGTCGTCTCCCCCGCCCAAGAGGAGTACCCCCAAAGGACTGAGCTGCTAGGCCAGGACTCTGACACTTTCACCCTGGCCCTCTGACAGGCTCCACTTTGGGGCTCGCCTGCTGTGTAAATGGGCTACAATTGTTATTTGTCACGCAATGCATTGATCAGTCTCAAATTGATCGTCCCTGGATGGAATGATGAGCACAGTCCATAGACACTGCAGCTCTGATCCTCACAAGAAGCACCAAGTGTAACCGTTCCCTGAGTTCAACCCCCGGAGCTCATATGGAAAAAGTCAAGCATGACAGCGATGTCCTAGTCCCAGGCGGATTCACCAGGAGGTGAATCCCTGAGACTGGCTGGACAGACAGCC